CCATTGACACATGTACTTTCTTCAGCTAAATTGGATGCTACTGGGCATAGATGGTTAGCCGATCTTTCAGCTTATGATTTTTCTTTAAAATATTTACCTGGTATTCATAATGTTGCAGCTGATGCTTTGTCAAGACTCCCTGTTTCAAATCTTGATAATTCTGTTGTATCTGCTATAATTAATTTCACTGACGTTGATCTTGGTAAAATTGAAACTTTTTCTTTTAGTCAGAATGTTCTAGATTGTGTTGTTTCTTCTATTGTTGGTTTTCCTGTGGAATATTCAAATTTAATGGATAAGTCAAGAGTTTTCAAGGCTCAACAAGATTGTATTGGAATTCAGTACATAATTCAAGCTGTTAGAAATGGATGTAAACCTACAGATTTTCATAGTGTCGATAAGGATACAGCTGCTATACTTCGTTCCTGGGATAATTTAATTTTAAAAGATGATATTTTATATAGGAAATACTTACCTTCACCTTCATCTGATACCGTGTTTCAAATTGTTTTACCTGTTTCTCTTCGTCAACATGTATTATCATTACTGCATGACAATGTCGAAGTATGTAGAGGAGTATGTCAGATCCTGCGACAGATGTATTCGCCGAAAGTCTCCTCAGCAGAATATTAGAGCGCCTTTAGTCAGTATTCAAACTTCGGAACCATTACAACTTGTTTGTACTGATTTTCTTTCTTTGGAACCATCTAAAGGTGGTGGTATTGAGAATATTTTAATCATAACTGATCATTTCACAAAATTTGCTGTAGCAGTATCAACAAGAAACCAGACCGTGAAAACAACCGCTAAAATCTTAATTCAACATTTTTTCTTACCATATGGCATTCCTGCACGACTTCATTCCGATCAGGGTCGAAATTTTGAATCTAATATTATTAAAGAAGTATGCAGTATCTTGGGAATAAATAAATCTAGAACAACACCTTATCACCCCATGGGTAATGGGTTATGTGAGCGTTTGAATAGAACTTTATTAAATATGCTTGGTACACTCACTGAAGATCAGAAGATTCGCTGGAAAGATTATGTTTCATTTTTAGTATATGTATATAACTCTACAAAACATGAGTCCACTTCTTATTCTCCTTTTTATCTAATGTTTGGCAGAGATCCGAAACTTCCTGTGGATATAATTCTTGGTGACAATTATTCTTCTGATACTAATTCTTCATATACACAATTTGCTTCTCAGCTACAAGATAAATTCAATTTGGTTAATGAAATTGCAAGACAGAACATAGAAAAGGCTCAACATAGACAGAAGTTTCACTATGATACTAAAGTTAAAGGCGCTAACCTTCATGTTGGAGATATTGTTTTGGTAAGAAACGTGCAAATTCGAGGAAAAAATAAATTGGCTGATAAGTGGGAGAATATTTGTTACACTGTAATTTCACAGCCTGATTTCAACATTCCAGTGTATATTGTTCAAAAAGATGGCACTTCCGAAAGACGCACCCTTCACAGAAATCTTCTCTTACCTATTTGTTCTTCAGGGCATCCTATTCCAGCTCCCCGATCGAAAGTGTCACAAGATACTACTTTGTCAACTGAGTGCAGTATTTCTGATGAATCTTTAAGCCAGGTTAGTGCGAGTGATGTAATTAGGGAAGTCATTCCTCTTTCTGATGCAGGTAGTGTTGTTTTTCAGTCTTCTGATGCAAATGGGTCTGGGGTTAATATTAATGATAGTAATTTGGTTTCTGATGATCACTGTTCTACTGATAGTTCTTTGCATAAAGCTCCAGATATTTTACCACTGGATATTTCTTCTGGTCCAAGTGGGTCAGACAGTTCTTTTTCACAGCTTGATTCTAATTCGTCAGAGGATCATGTTCCTGGAAAATGTCAACCACCGGGATGGATGAAATCCGATGCTTGGGTTTTAGGGAATACTGTTTGGGTTTGATTTTCATTGATTATATCTACTTTTATAATTGTCCCATTTTTGCATTATTAGTTCGGTTAAAGTAGAAATAAATGTAGTTGCTATAATAGTTTTTAGTTGATGACGACTTGGATTTGTTTATGGATAATGATTTTGGTTTTGTGGGTTGGTTCATTATGTATATATATATGTGTGTGTGTTGTTTTTTTTTTAAAGTGGATTATAGGCTGGTTAAGTCTGTTCATGTCGGGACGCCACTTCTTGTGCTGGGGGGATAGTGTAGTAGGGTGTTTTAGCCCCTTTAAATATTTTAGTAGGGTGTTATAGCCACTTTAACTATTTCAGTCAGTCTCTATTGTCTTGAGTATCCAGCTAGCCTTTTCTTTCCAGTGGTGATATTTACTTTAGTTTAAAGTTTAAAAATGCTATTGTTATAAGGTAGTGAGTAGATTTCATTCCCTTGGAAACCTGCTTTGTTGATTTTGGTTACTAACTTCACTCTTCTATTTTCTACCCATCTTTAAACAGCTCTTCTTAATCATTTATTTCAAGGTAGGTTTTGTATTTGTTTGACTGGACTAGACATTTTAAACTATATAAATAATTCCAAACTATTAAAGTAAATATTAGCAAGTTAATAATAATATATATATAGAAATTAAATAACCTTATATTTCATAAGTAAATGTTGATTAAATATATTTTTCCCTCATGTGTAAAGTCTTTTAATTGTGATATCTATTTGTTTTATAGTGTTTCGTATTGTGTTGACTATAAAGTGTATAACTTTATAAATCATCTTTATTTTCCTGGAAAAAAAGCACCTGTCTTAGGGTATGTTTGAAATATGTAGCCATCATTGTCGCCGGTTGTTGCCAAGACTTATCCCTGTGTAGTCTCGGTTAACAGGCCGTAACTAATCCATTCACGACTGGCACTACCGGTCAAAAAGGCCACACTAAGGCTAATTTACTAGTCTTTTTAAAAATCTTCAGACATTAAAAACATTTTATTTGAAATATTCGAATAGCATTTTCATTCATAATTTATTTACCAGCGACCCAAGACTCATCAAACATTTTAAAATTGAATTTATCTTCGCTTGGATTCGACCACTAATTCGACACACCTCTTTAAAAACGGAAATACGATTCTATTTTGATGGAGTTGTTATTGATATGAACTGAAACACTTCGTATCCCGTTTCATGCAATTTTCTTGCAGGTCCCCATTAGACCTCCTAATTTTCTTACCCAGAAATGCTTTTTTTCTTTCAGAACTCTGTTAGACCACCCAATTTTCTTACCCGGAAATGCTTTTTTTCTTGGAGAACTCTGTTAGACCACCCATTGACCCAATTTTCTTACCCGGAAATGCTTTTTTTCTTGCAGAACTCAGTTAGACCACCCAAGTCAACAGTTTGATTACCTAAAATTATAGCAACTAAAAATAGTAAGCAAATTATTAAAATAAATTGTATCAAATCTGTGTTGATTGGACTTTAAACCCCATTTCTTTCTCTCTTGAAAAATTATTCATTCAGTATTTTTATTTTTTTTACAGTTCCTGCTAATAGATCTATTCTGTCGGCAATAGATAACTCTATTGCACCACAGAGACGCATCAGTGAGGAAGCAGATCAAGAAAAAGAGGCGCTTAAATTACAAATTAATGAAATGTAAGTGGTTGTTTTGGAGTATTGGACTCTTCGCTAGAACGTGACTGGTTTGAATCTCAGTATGTGCCGAGAAGAATCTCAGCATTTTTCAACCTCGGTTTCAACTTGTCAGAGGTAGCATCTGTGGGACCGACAAGTAAAGTGTTGCATAAATAGTTGTTCGGATGGGACAAAAACCAAGGTCAACACATGTACACATTGGCATGCATGTGATAAAAAGAAAACAATGATAAATCTTTCTGTACATTCAAAATTTTATTACATTAATTTTTATTTCATTTAACATGCGTAGGCATTTTGAATAGGTCAAGTCTGTCATTAATTTATCTTCTTCGCCGTCTTCAGTTGATCGCACTCTTGTCTTTGCTATCATGTGTTCATTGATACTGGGCGTACTCGATTGAACGTTCCGGAATTGAATTCTCTCAATCCCAAAAATAATGATAATCGAGTGAAAATGGGTACTTCGGGCCACAACGCATGCGTCGACTGGATATATAAATATCTAATCCAACCATGCAGCCGAATCCTGTTCGTCGTGTTTAATTACGTCACAATTATACTCACACCACCTCCGTTGTCGGGACTGACAGGACTGAATTCCGCGTCACTCGATTGCAATTCTGTCAATTCGGGACGTTTCGGACTGTGACTCAAGCATCCCCAGGTCGTCGTCACACGGTTCGAAGAGATCCGTAGGGTGACCAAACTTATAGGTTATTCAGGTTCAATCGGCATGCGCAACGAATGTTTCCAACAGGTGATAGGAATATTTTTACGACTGTGAATTTGGGGGAAAATTCGTGGATATTCTTGAGTATTTGTCACAACTGTCGTACAAGAGATTAGAATTATAAAGGTAATCAACAAAGACCCACTGTAACGAGTTTTAATCTCACAGATAATTGATTGGTGATTGCTTGTTAATCTTTTGTGGCTTCACACCCATCCAGTTTTAATCTCACGGATAATTGATCGGTAAGTGTTTGCTTCACACCCACCGATTGAAGGCCGGATTATCTGGTGTCGATTCAATGGAAAGCGTATGACGGGACGGCTGATTGATGTCATAGATTTTTTGGCTGAAGTAATAAGGAATTAAATCGGGACATGAAAATGGTGTCGGATGTAACAGAGTGCTGTAGTGATCAGAGGTCGGATGTGACAGAGTGCACTGTACAACCATTGGGATTTCCCCTTTGTCAGTGGTGTAGGACGTAGGGCCTGACAAGTACAGCTGTCAAGTTGTTCCAATGGGATGAAAAACCAAGGTCCCGTGTATACATTGGCATGCATATGGAGGGGATCACTTGATAAATGCTGAACAGAATTGAACCATTGTTCATTTTAGAGAATAAACTGTTTAAATTTTATAGTTTGAAAGAGTTCAAAATATCTCAAATGACAAGGCTCGACATTAAGGTCTCTATTATAATCTAAACTATAATATCATGTTTTAACCTCTCTATATTAAATTGTACAGGGAAATAATGATAGAAAAACTCGAGAACCAATACCATGCGAAAGAAAAAGAATTAAGAGAATTAAGAGAATTTACAGTTTTAGAGAAAAGTATTATGGATAAAGAAGTAAATGAGAAAGTGGAGGTAAATGTATCGAAATGAAATGAAATGGGGTTTAATGTCTTACTGTTCTGCTCCGAACTGGGTTAATGAAGATGGGGCATACGCCATACAGTGTGCTATGAGGGAAATTTTGCCCGGGCAGTGGCACTACAGCCTACTCTTATATCGAATTCCAACTGCCAAGGGTTAGGCAGAGTGATAGGCTTGATGTACTTTATAAAAAGAAAGAAATTGGGTTTAACATCCTACTGTTCTGCTCCGAACTGGGCTAATGAAGACAGGCATACGCCATACAGTGTGCTATGAGGGAGATTTTGCCCGGACATCGGAACTACGGCGTACTCTTATATCGAATTCCAACTGTCAAGGGATCTTTTACGTGCACACCAATATGTACACAGGACCTCGGTTTTTCGTCCCATCTGAAGGACTAGACAGCTGTCCTTGTCAGGCCCTCCGTCCTGCATCAATGACAAGGGGAAACCACGCCGGAAAATCAGGTTGAACTTTCTCGGCCAATGCAGGGATCGAACACCTGACCTCCAGGCTAGCAAACCAGCGTCTTACACACTTAGGCACCGTGACCCCCAGGTGAATATATCAAACATACCCAGATTGAAACTACTAATCAAAATTTTGATTTGATCGGTAAAAATTTATCAAAACTATATCCCACTGCTAAACAATTGTTGACAGTTATTTTGTTCCCTGTCCTACGCGCAAACAAATTATTTCAATAAAATTTTACGATATTTTAGTCCCAAAATGACACAGGTTGTGTGGAGTGGATGTTAAACCTCTCTGTCTGTCTCTCTCTCTCTCTCTCTCGAAACCCCCCAACATATTGTTTCTCTCTCCATTTTCCATCCTTATGTCATGATCGACAAAAATGAACTAAAGAAATGAACTATTTTTTATTTTGGAAGGTTTCAATTAAAGAAATGGGTGAAAAGTTAAATCAACGTGATTTGTATATAAACCAAGTAGAAGCCGAACTTTATAAACTAGCAGATGAAAAGTCAACTTTAAATGAAAAAATAGCGGAATTTGAGAGTGAACTCGCAGATCTGAGACCAAAATGTGAAAGAGTGGGGGGACTTTTTTCAAGAGTTCAAGAATTGCAGACGGAACTTGACCTGAAAGAAACTGAGATGAAAAAACTTGTAACAAGACTCGAAATGGCCAGTCAGAGAGACAAAAGCTTGACGAGTGTGAATAAGAAAATAGCAGCAATAGAAGCTGGAGCAGAAAAGAAGGATGAAGTCATCCATCCCTCGAAGCATTATTCCGACCAGGTCACTCAGCTACAAGGTGAAAACATGGTCTTGAAAGAGAAACTGACAACAACTGAGGCCGAACTGCTTTCAAAAACTGAGGCACTGGCAGAAACACAACCCAGGTTAGCAGAATTACAGAAAGAGTTGGAGAATCTCCAGAATGAGGTTGGTGACTTGCAAGACATTATTGAACGAGAAACAGATGAAAATACGGAAAATAAAGAAAAAATCACAAATCTTCAAAGAGAGATTTCTGATCGAAGAGATCAGATTGAAGACCTAGAGGGACAAGTCAAACAACTGTCATTGACAAAAAAATCCCTGGAACATGACTACGAAAGATTACACACGGACCACGCAGACATGCTGTCATGGTACCAGAAACAACAGGAAGAAGATATACTCAAAGCAGAAGGTAAAGATACAGAATCAATCTTGAAGGAACAGTTATCAGAATTACGACAAGAATTTAGCGTGAAAAGAGAGGCCATCGTTACTATGGAAATGGAATTTCGTGATACGTTAGCGGGTAAGGTTGAGGAACTGAGCAACAAGCAAATAAAAGTGGAAACATTAACGACTGACTTAGAAGCTTTTGATAAAACGAAAGAAGAGTTGGCAGACGTGACCAATGAGAAATGTGAATTAGAACAAGATATCAAAGACAATATTGAACAAATTGCCATTCTGCAAGTTGATTTGGAAGAGAAAACTGAAGCCATAAAATCCTTGAAACAAGAGAATGAAGCTTTGTGTCAGGATTCTGAAGAATCCAAAGAACAGATCACAAAATTACAGATTGATGTCGCAGATGGTCTTGAGACAATTACAGAACTGAAAAATCAAGAAAGTGAATTAGAAGCTAAAGTCCTTGAGCTTCAACATGATTTGTCCGTAAAATCTGAGGAAGTTACAAGATTAAATGAAGGAAAGGCTTCAGAAAGTCATTTCCAAGAACAGATTTTAAACTTGCAAAATCGTGGAAGAGAATTAGAAGAGCAGATTGTAGCATTAGAAGAAGAATTGTCCACAAAATCAGAAGAAATTAAAAATTTACATCAAGAAAAAATATCTGAAAGTGAATTACAAGCTCAAATTACAAAATTACAAACGGAATTATCAAATGGATTCGAGACAATTACAGAATTGAAAAATAAGGAAAAGGCTTTACATGGAGAAATCAAAACACTGCAGGAAGATTTACTGAAGAAAACTGAAATTTTTTCAACGTTACAAGCAGAAGTAGCGACGGATAATGAACAAATAACGTGTCTACGCAAAGATTTATTAGAAAGTGTAAACACTGTTGATAGGTTAAAACAAGAAAGACAGTCAAATGTGACAGATGCTGAGCAGACGGATAATGGAGGGAGAATACAACAGCTACTTGACAAGAAAAAAGAATTGGAAGAAGAAAATCGAAAGGTTTGTCATATTTTTATTTTGAATAAATATGGTCGGCTCCATTTTTCAACCTTTGGCAATTTATAATGCTTTTTTGAAAATGGATCCATTCTTTTTATTGAAACTAAAATGTGGGATTACATGGTTTATAATAGAATTTTCTCAGGCCTACAAAGGATTTCTATAAAATAAGCATGAGCCTTTCAGTATTGAAATTTATGGTAGATCAATTTAGACAATTATAAATTAGTTCAATTTTTATAAATTTGTTTAATTTAGAAAATGGAAGAACAGGAAACTGAATGGAAGAAAACTGTTAGAGATTTGAAATTAGATGTAAGATTAATTTTTTTTTTTATTAATCCATTGAACTATATATGCATTGCAGACTTTAATGTTATAGATTTATCAAAAGCATGATAACTTGCCTTTTCAAACCTAGACCATTGTCCACTTGAAACAATAAGGGAGTTTTCAAAGGGGTTGGACGGCCAAATGGTTAACACGTTTTGCATCAAAAGGTCTGTCATTGAGTCAACTGGTGTGGGTTAGATTCTTCGCTTGTACGTGACCAGGAGTAAGGTTGCCTGTCCTCCGGTTTCCTCCCACTCCACCGCTAAAGACTCATACGCGCAAGTGAATGATTGAAATAAAATTGAGCCACATGTTAGTCTTGAAATGACTCAGTTTGTATCAGTGGAGGTTACACTCCCCCCCCCCCCCTCTCTCTCTCTCTCTCTCTCTTTCTCTCTCTCTCCACACATTTTGTTGTGGATGAAATAACCGTAATGACCCTTTAATATAAATATACAATTACTGAAATATTAAATAATATAAAATATGTTATTTGTTTGACAGAGTTTCTCTTTACGATCACAACTCATTGATGCCAAAAAAGAATGGGCAAGATTGGGTCAGGCTTTTGATGCTTTTGATATTAAAATTGAGGTAAGTCTTGGATTATTTGTGTATGTTCATGTAGCCTACAAAAAATTTATTTTTTGATGATTTTACTTGACTAATGAATTTACTGAAAGTTTTAACATATGTCTTGGATGTTATAACATATCTTATTGTTCACATATCCTTTAGAAATTTAAAAAAAAAAAAGTTATTTAAAATAGATTGACTGTTAATTGTCCTCACCTTTCAAAGAAAGCAGGGGGACTATTTTTATGGGTTTGTCTGTCCGTCACACATTGTAGAACACAATAATTTTGCTTCTAATTGAGGAAGTGTGTTCAAACATAGAAGGGCATAAGAACAATTTATAAAAACAATAATTTTGCTTCTAATTGAGGAGGGGAGTTGGACGGCCGAATGGTTAGCACATGCACGCTGTATCATAAGGTCCAGAATTAACAAGGTATGAAGGACACGCGATTGATAATTCCAGAATTAACAAGGTATGAAGGACACGCGATTGATAATTCCAGAATTGAATTTGTGAAGAACTTATTTGAGTGGCATTTAGTAATTGAAGGGTAACACAATTAGTACCTACTGTTACTGGTTTATTGACATGCAAAGTTTCAAGGAACCCACTGTGGCTAAGTGGGTAAGACGCTGGTTCGCTAGCCTGGAGGTCGAGTGTTCGATCCCTGCATTGGCTGAGAAAGTTAATTGGGATTTTCCGGTGTGGATTCCCTTTGTCAGTGGTGCAGGATGTAAGGTCAGACAAGGACAGCTGTCTAGTCATTCGGATGGAACAAAAAAACGAGGATCCGTGTATACATTGGCGTATAAAAGATCCTCTGGCAGTTGGAATTCAATTTGAAATTTCCCTCATAGTTCACTGTATGGCGTATGCCCGTCTTCATTAGCCTAGTCAGAGCAGAACAGTAGGACGTTAAACCCCATTTCATTTCCAATGTATCAACGATAATGCTCTCGGCTTTTTCAAGCATATATGTTATATGTTTGATATAGACCAGGGCTGGGGCCATTACATTACCATTACTTTTTAAATGTAATCATTACAATTACTTTCTCATTTTTAGCAATGTAATTAATTATCATTACCCATTACATTGAAAGTAATTAATTATCATTACCCATTACTTTATGACTATATAAATAGATAAAACATTTTTCATAGAAATAAAAAAGGCAACCTTATTTTTCTTCCATGAAGTATCTACAAAATCAAACTCAAAATAATCCTTGATTTACTTAATAGATATTTGTTTATGAATTATTAAGAAACCATAAAATGATGAGATACTTGAAAGTCATTTTGTTACCTTGAGATTAAGATTAAAGTGTAGTAAGACTATTGTCTTTTAATCTATGGGATTGATCGATTGATTGATTGACTAAGTGATTGGCTGCAAATTAGTACTAATCTTTGATTATAATATACATCTTATCAGAAATTGATATTGGCATGTATCGGACTGTAACTTCATGGATTATGGCCCCTGATTGAACGAAAAATCATGTTTTTAGCTTGTGAACACTGTAGAGGTCACAATTTTTATCCGATAGAGTTTAAACTTGAAATGTATGCTTATAACCCAAAGATCTCGATTCCTGACGTTATTCGCGCATATCGGGACGTAACTTCCTGAATTATGGCCCCTGATTGTACAAAAAATCGTGTTTTTAGCTTGTGGACCCTAGAGAGATCATAATTTTTATCCGATTTAAAAAAACATATTATTATATCACCGTTACACCCTAAGGACGTCTGAGTTCAAATTTCATGAAAATCGGCCCAAAACTGATAGACAAAATGGCCGCCGTTCGTTTTCAAATAGCGTAAAAATATGGCATATCAAGGTTGTGGACCCTATATATAGTGTTCTCAATTTTTATCAGATTTTGTTGAAACTTGAAATGTGAGTTTATAACCCAAACATCTCGGTTCCTTTTGATATTCGCTGATATCGGAACGTAACTTCCTGAATTATGGCTCCTGATTGTACAAAATTAGACAAAATTGCCGCTCTTCGTTCTCAAATAGCATAAAAATATGGTATATCAAGGTTGTGGACCCGATAGAGGTCACAATTTTTATCTGATTTTGTTGAAACTTGAAATGTAAGATTATAACCCAAAGATCTCGGTTCCTTTCGATATTTACGCATATCGAATTGTAATTTCCTGAATTATGGCCGTTGATTGTAGGAAAAATCACTTTCTTTTTAGCTTGTTCTCTATCCATCTCTCGAAAATGTGGGCGTATCCTGCCTGGCAGCCGCTGGTTTTAAAACTGATTTAAAGGTCACCGGAAAAACATCATTTTTTTTTTAAATAATGCATCAGCCGTTCTCCGTGGGTAGTCGTAACTTTCCGTCAATAAGCAATCCGTGACGTCATTTTAGTCCTTCTGCACATAGAAATATAGACTAGAATATCAGCAGAAGGACTAAAATGACGTCACAGATACTGAAAGTTACGACTACCCACGAATAATGGCAGAAATTACTAATGTTGAAATTTACCTGTTGCAGGTAATATTGACATTCGGGTTTGGGTTATACTTATGGAAAGGATATGTTGACATAATTACTTGCTTTATTTAAAAAAATTATGAACATTTTCCGGAGCCCTTTAAATCTTTTTTTTTAGAATTATGATGAATTTTTAGAATTATGATGAATTTTTAGAATTATGATGAATTGGATTTGTATCAGATACACTTGATTACTTCTTTGGTGCTATAAAATTTGAGGCTTGTCATATTGGAAATATATATACAGTGGACTCTGTCACATCCGACATCGTGCGGGATCGTTACAATAATTCGGATCACACAGCGCTTCGGAATACCGAGCTTTCTCCAAAACCGGAAATACTGTAACTTCGAAAACCGGAAGTATTTTTATATTGTAGCTTCGAATCACCAGAATGCTATTCCCTTTATAAATGATAAACTTTTCTGTACTTTCAAAATTTTATATTAAATAATTAACAATAACAATGCATGCGTACAATATATTCATAAAATCGTTTACATGTAATATCAATGCATGCGTACAATATATTTATAAATATCGTTTAAAGTAGTTTGCTTAGTTAAGATTACTGGAAGCATATTGTAAGGCAGAGTCCTGGGCAACATCTTCTAACAAATGAATTGTTGCGATCATCTTTTCGTCCTTAATCTGTGCGAAGTGTTTATTGTCGTTGGGCATGCGTAGGAATTTTGAATAGGTCAAGTCTGTCGTTAATGTATATTCTTCATCGTCCCCGTCTTCAGTCAATTGTCATTTATAATCTGTCGTATGTCCAGTTTTTCAAGCCAATCAAAGTAAACGGCACCTGTCATTCAAGCTTTGCGATTGGCCGACCAATTGACTGGCAGGTAGATTTTGTCCACTCCCTTAAAACAACTCAAGTTCACTGCTTTACCGATCAAAGTAATCAACACAGTTTTAATCTCACCGATAACTGATTGGTGATTACTTGTTAATCTTTTCTGGCTTCACACCCATTGAGTTTTAATCTCACCGATAATTGGATGCTTCACACCCACCATTTGAAGTACGGATTATACAGTGTCGATTCATTGGAAATTATGGGACGGGGCGGCTGATTGATTTCGGAATCCGGAACATACAGAATTCGGATTTACCAGCGATTTTTTGGCTGAAGTAATAAATTAAGGAAATAAATCGGGACATGAAAATCATACCGGATGTCACAGCAATCCGGAGTGATCAGAGATCGGATGTGACAGAGTCCACTGTATATGCCATAAATTGTAATTGAAAAGTAATTGAAATGTAATTGACCATTACGTGATTTTTGGAATGTAATTAATTACATTTCCCATTACTCATTACTTTTGAAATCTTCCATTATTTAAAAAAATGTAATGATTACATTCCATTACCATTACCCCAGCCCTAATATAGACAAGAGTTTCATCGGTGACACATTGCATGTCAATAAACCAGTAATTGTTATTCCATAAATAGTAGTTAGTGTGAATTTGTAAAGAGCAACAGTCAAGTGACAAGAGGAATTTCAGACCACAACGCATGTGTGGACAGAATGGAAAAAATATATCTAGCTTTTTAGAACGAATAATGATCAATGAAAATAAATAAAATATGATGGCATTTTGAGATTTATGAGAACATGTTTCATGCTTCAAACAGAGATTATAGTCTCACCTGGAATTGAATCTAATTAGGGTTTCACGTAGCTTGTGTGAAACACTATTGTTTTTGTTAAGATTATTCTTATTATTATTATTTTTTTTTTTTTTTCCAATTTGATTGTATCTCAGAAACTACATGTCGGATCGATACGATTGGAAAAGTAGGTGTGACTTAGAGATTAAAGCTATTTTGGGTATTCTGTGACAATGCGAAATGTCCGAAATCGCCGAAGTTATCGGGTTTTTTTTTAAAATGACGTAGTATTAACAATAACCATCGAATTTTAACATATGATGCATTTTGACATAGCCAGAGACCAGGCACATAGCTGTGCTATTTTTGATTGTCGACGAATCTTCGTAGATATTAAGCGCCGAATTTCGAAAATTTAAATATTTTTATATGGCATTTTACCCAGGGTTGAAGAGTTATCCAATTTGACTAAAAATGTCAACATTTTTTGTTTTCATTAATTTTCCTTGGCAGCCATTGGCTAATTCAGTTTTTTAGTCCTAGATTAATTATTTATTACTCGATTTGTACAAAAGTAAGTTCATATGCTGCGTGGTCCAAAATGTCATTTTTTTTTGTTACCGGTAAAGATTCCTGTCGGCACCGGAAGTGTCGTAAAATCAGCAAAAACTACAATTTTGACAGATCGGTACAACTTTTTGAAAGCAAATATTATTTTTTCAAAATTTGATATTACCAAAAGGATGCACCACGCAAACGGACACAAATCATCGGACTCAGTTTTTATACGACCACATTGAAATGTGGTCGTATATTGTCGTCGCCCCTGTCCGGCCGGCGTCCACAATTGCTTGTGGACGCTCTAGAGGCTAAAGTTAATATCTGATTGACTTTAAATTTATACACAGTGTTTAAGGTTTTGAGACAAAGAAGCCTATTGATTTTCAGCGATTTCTGATAATTACTGCCAGAGTTATGGCCCTTGATCACTTTGAAAAATCTTGTGGACGCTCTAGAGGCCAAAGTTAATATCCAATTGACTTTAAATTTATACACGGTGTTTAAGGTCATGAGACGAAGAAGCCCATTGATTTTCAGCAATTTCCGATAATTACTGCCAGAGTTATCACCCTTGATCACTTCAAAAAATCTTGTGGATGCTCTAAAGGCCAAAGTTAATATCCGATTGACTTTAAATTTAAACACAATGTTTAAGGTCATGAGATGAAGAAACCTATTGATTTTCAACGATTTCCGATAATTACTGCCAGAGTTATGGCCCTTGATCACTTCAAAAAAATCTTGTGGATGCTCTAGAGGCTAAAGTTAACATCCGATTGACATTAAATTTATACACAGTGTTTAAGGTCATAAGATGATGAAGCCTATTGGTTTTCAGCGATTTGTGATATTACTGCCAGACTTATGGCCCTTGATCACTTCAAAAAATCTTGTGGATGCTCTAGAAGCGAAAGTTGATATTCGATTGACTTTAAATTTATGCACAGTGTTTAAGGTCATGAGACGAAGAAGCCTATTGATTTTCAGCGATTTCCAATATTTGCTGCCAGAGTTATGGCCCTTGATCACTTTGAAAAATCTTGTGGACGCTCTAGATGCCAAAGTTAATATCCGATTGACTTTCAATTTATACACAGTGTATAAGGTCATGAGACGAAGAAGCCTATTGATTTTCAGCGATTTCCGATAATTACTGCCAGAGTTATGGCCCTTGATCACTTCAAAAAAATCTTGTGGATGCTCTAGAGGCTAAAGTTAACATCCGATTGACATTAAATTTATACACAGTGTTTAAGGTCATAAGATGATGAAGCCTATTGGTTTTCAGCGATTTGTGATAATTACTGCCAGACTTATGGCCCTTGATCACTTCAAAAAATCTTGTGGATGCTCTAGAAGCGAAAGTTAATATTCGATTGACTTTAAATTTATGCACAGTGTTTAAGGTCATGCGACGAAGAAGCCTATTGATTTTCAGCGATTTCCAATATTTGCTGCCAGAGTTATGGCCCTTGATCACTTTGAAAAATCTTGTGGACGCTCTAGAGGCCAAAGTTAATATCCGATTGACTTTCAATTTATACACAGTGTATAAGGTCATGAGACGAAGAAGCCTATTGATTTTCAGCGATTTCCGATAATTACTGCCAGAGTTATGGCCCTTGATCACTTCAAAAAATCTTGTGGATGCTCTAGAGGCTAAAGTTAATATCTGATTGAGTTTAAATTTATACACAGTGTTTGAGGTCATAAGACGAAGATTCCTATTGATTTTCAACGATTTCCGATAATTACTGCCAAAGTTATGGCCCTTGATCACTTTGCAAAATCTTGTGATGCTCTAAACCAAACAAATTCTAATAGTTTTCTGATAATTACTTCGTGAGTTGTTGCTCTTAATCAGATTTTAGTGTATTATAAATGTTTCATTACCGAAAAAAGTAAAAATATGCGACAACCCTTGTTGACTGCCCGGACGATTTAGTTGCTGTGGGCGTATGTTTCGTTGCCTGGCAACCTATCTTTTTAATTTCGATTTCGTTTTCGGGACATTTAGATTAAAAGGCGAAAAAAGGTGTAAAAATAAGCTATTTACAACCCATCCACCGTCTTCATATTTCAAAATATTTCATCGTAACTTTCATAACCTCGTAGCAATAACCAATACAAAGAGAATGTATGTCAAAATTAGTTTGTAATATCAGCAGTTGCCGAGAAATAGACAATTTTGCACGAGTCACATTTCGTGTTATTTTGCCTGTACAAGAATCAATTATTATTCAATTTTCTTTCACCATGTGATGCCCAATGCCACGTTTGACTAGATTAAACCATTTTAACACCTTTACTGTCGCCGGAAGTGACGTCATTTGGGCAAAAACTGAATTTTAGCCTTCAAAACCGATATTTTTTTCAAATGAGTCGTATATGTTATTTGTTGAAAAGTATGATATTTAATTTCAATCAACAAATAGAATGAACCCATACGACCATACAGATACCACAAAATGGGTTCTAACTTGTAAGGTTGCAGAGAAATAGACGATTTTCTACTAGTCACTTTTCAAGGTTTTTGTACTATAACAGTGTCAATTATTATTCGATTTTCATAAAATTTCCACCATGTGATGCCTTATGCCATTTCTGATTTCATAAAACTAATTTAACATTTTCATTCTCACCGGAAGTAATGCAATGTTAGCAAAAACTGTATTTTTAGCCTTCAAAACAAATATTTTTTTGAAGTGAGTTATATTTAGTATTCGTTTAACATTATATTTCATTCCAATGGAAATATAGATTGGATCAATACGATCATAAATATTTCCAAAAATACCTTCTAGCATCTTCTCTTGCAAAGAAATAACCAATTTCGTCAGGATCACTTTTTAAGACTTTTCGCATTTTTATTACAGTTTATGGGTTCTAAATTAATTATTTATTGCCTGATTTGTATAAAACAAAAGCTCATATACTCCTTGGTGCAAATTCTCAACTTGTTTCTACCTATAATGTTTTCTGTCGGTACCGGAAGTGACGTGATTTTGCCTAAAATTTAAATTATGACGGGTCGGGAGGTCTTTTTCCGCGCAAGGTTTTGTATGTGTGCCATTTTGATTTAAGGGTGAAAAATAGGAGTAAAAATCAGCTATTTACAACCCATTCATCGCCTTCATATTTTAAATTATTTCTACGCAACTTTCATAATTTTGTAGCATTAATCCATACGAGGACAATGTATGTCAAAATTAGATTGTAATATGCGCAGTTGCCGAGAAATAAGCAATTTTGCATGCGTCATTTTTCACGTTAATTTGAATGTAAAAAAGTTAATTATCGTTCGATTTTCAATTTTCGTTACAATGTGATGCCTCATGCCACCTTTGGTATACATATCCAGAATATTGATGTTGTTTTGTTTGATATATAGTAGGCTTACAATTAATTTTATAACTGTATATTTTTATAGAAAAATGGGCCACATTAGAAGAAAGTAATGCAGCCATGTATCGTGAAATTTATCAACTGAAATATTCACACAATAAAGAAGGAATCGAATTTGAAAAAAAGTGAGTTGTGCTTTATGTGGGGGTTTTATGAACAAACTATTTAGCCTTTTTGTTCGTTGTCATGCCGATGTCAACAATTTCAACAAAAAAAAATTTCTGGTAAGTCAAATAAATTTTAAAGTGTTTCTAACGATAGTAAGTATTAAGAAGCCTTTAATTTCATAAAATTGTAAAGTCACGTGGATCACAAGACACATAAGATTTACTCAAAGACAGTGGAATTCACATTGAGATTTGCCGATGGCAGGGTCCGAGTGTACCGCAGACGAGGTGAACGTTACGCTCAAGTATGCGTCAGAGAAGTTGACCGATTTGGTGGCGGTAGCATCATGGTTTGGGGTTCTTTTTGTGCACATGGACGTTCTCCTCTTGTTGTTGTCCAAGGGAACTTAAATGCTGTCCAGTACAGAGATCAGATTTTGCAACCTGTTCTTCTTCCGTTTATGCAGAGACATGGGCCTGGACTAACGTTTCAACAAGACAATGCTCGACCCCATACAGCAATTGGTACCCAGAATTTTTTAGGAAATGCCGGTGTCCAAGTCCTGGATTGGCCGTCGCTTAGCCCCAACCTTAATCCTATTGAACACATCTGGGACGAACTGGGTCGACGTGTTCGTCAGCAAGTGAATCCACCACTGACGATGCAGGACCTTCAACATGCTCTTGCTGCGCAGTGGCGACGTCTTCCTCGGGTAGTGTTTACTAATGTTCTGAGATCCATGAGAAGACGTTGTGTGGCAGTACGAGACGCTAGAGGAGGCCACAACCGTTACTAAACACTTTATTCCGATTGTTCTCCAAGTCTGTGAATTTCATTTTGGGGGGTACTGTGACATCACGAACGTTATCAATGTCAAGGACTTTCGGCGAGACGTATTCTTGCATTCTGTTGATGTCAAGGTCGTCTGTGCACAACATAACACTAAAATAGTTGCCTTAAACCAAATATTAAAAATCTAGTCGCAAAAATCCCGAGTGTCAAGTTTTTAATTTGGCTGAGTATATATAAATCATGTTTGGATGTTTATATTATAGAGAGGCTGGTTTAGTTGATACTGTACAATATAAAGATGGTGTTATAAACAGATTAAAAGATCAATTGAGAAGACAAGGTGAAGATTTAGATACAACCACATGTAAGTATCTATTTTATTTACCACACATTAATCATACATTATACAATGCAAGAGCTAAATCTGTCTATTGCAGGGCTTTGTTTAGGCCTGAAATGTTATCTAAATTATTAATTAGACTATCCAGACCATAATCAACTCTAGATGGCATCGCTAGCCTGCGATATTTAGTGGATTTGAATACATTTTATGATGGATAATTTGATGTAAAAATGGATAATCAAGACTTTGTTTATTATTTTGCCAACGTTGGTAAGGAAGAGGCTAGCCTAGAATTGAATTGCTAATATCTTGGTTAATGCATGCGTTGGATCAGATATTAAATAGATTAGAACAGTTCAGCCATATTTTGATTTAAGCTAAAAATGGAGGAGCAAGACTTAACTTCAAACAACCAGTACGTTGGTTAAAATTATTGCACACATCTTGTCAAACCTTCAAAGGCTAATATCTCGGCTCGCAATAAAGTAATTTGAATTAAATTTTCAAATTGTTCATTTTGCATTATCTACTTTTGACCTATTATAGTAAGAATGGCCAGCTCTTTATCTAAATCTTACATAATGTATCTTTAACAAGATGTTTAACATGATTTTCAGGTGAACCAGTGAAACCGACGAGACCAGTAGAACAGGTATTGGTAGATGTAGGAACAGCCAGTGGTGTTATAGATAAATATACCGTCTGTATGATTGAAGCAGAGAATAAATATCTTCAAGAAGATAACGATAAACTCAAGAAAGAGCTAGACGAGTTAAGAACAGAAAATGAAAATCTCCAAGCGAAAATACGCAAATTGAAACATGAGAAGAAAGAAATCATCAGGATTCCAGATAGGTAAGATACATTTCGACCTGAAGCAAGGGCCAGAGAAATCCCTCTCTAGCCATTGCTGTATTGAGACTGAAAACTTGAGTTTTTGACGGAGCATGTCCATTCTCATTGTCCAATCAAATGTCTCCTGTGTTTGAGGTCTAATCAAACAAAACACTGCAAGGAGTATGCATTTCGACAGTAATTATCCCCTGGGTTTTATTGGATGAAAGTTGTTGTCCTGTATTTATGGTTTCTATAGTAGTTAATTAGATCAGGTGTTTATTACTAGGTTTCATACAGGAGAATAATGAGATGGGACCACGGCTAGATCTATTTCACATGCACACCTGCAGATTTTGTCATAGGTCACGAGATGTAAACAGGGCTAGTGCTAACCCTAACCCACAATCCTCGGCAACAATAACATGCCCTAACCCTGCTTACATCTCATGACCTTGGATGATGTCATTCCTATACTAGTGGAGTAGCTTGAAGGAGAGTCAGAGAAGCAACATCTTCCCCATTAGCATGCTCTCCAACACCATTTTAACTCTTTAGTTCATTTGTGCAATAAAAGTTGAATCTTTCAAAAATTAACCAATTAAACCAAGTCGTAATATGATATTGCAAATGTTTTCATATTCTTTGATGAATTGTGTTGAAACTTTTGCACAGTTATTAACAATACCGTAATGTTTAACATGGGAACTGCTTATTGCTCTGTGGGGATAATCCAGTGATGGGATTTCAAAAAATTTCATGTCGGACATTTTTTCCCGAAAATAAAGGGGCATAACTCTTACCGTAATTTAAGCAGACGTTTTCAAAACACAATTAAGAATCATGTGTCAACAAAATATATTCAAATTCATATGTAAAAAAAAAAATAGGTGCACCTCGTTATATTTCATGTTTAAAACCCGTACGGTAATCAAATTTATGTCAATAATATTCCTACAAAATTACATGACATCGTAATACTATAGAATTCGTTTGATACTCCGTTTCGATTTATATACGGAAGGTAAAAAAATGACATCCCGAAATTTATTTGGCCGTAAACCGTAGTTAACGACGCCCTAATGAGCGAGTGTAACCAACTTCTAAATAATTGCATTCGACTGTAGCACGCGCTATCGTCTAAAACAATTAACTACTTACGTCATTCCAATCAAAATATTCGTCAACATTTCTTAGCATGTTTATTTATTTATTTAAAGACATAAACCCCCTTCAAAATATGATCATAAATCCGACAATATGCTATCAAAATAGAATCTTTTCTCGAACATCAGGCATATTGGATTCAGCACGTATACATCTCTTAATTTCACGTGTCTCGCAAGATTTGTTCTTTCATTTTAATTACTGAACTCTATAAGCGCCATGTGTGTGAAATATCTTTATTTAACTTCGGCTTCCACCGAAAATATATCACAGACAAGTTATCAGATACAATGTATGTTGGTTTGAGGTGTTATATACTATCATGATATGTGACATATATGACTAATTTCTACGTGTTATTGTCCGACACAAAGGAGATTAAAATGTGAGACAATGGTCAATGGAGAAATCACGGGTTAATCAGATTAAGTTTCTAATCACTCTTATTGGATTGATATATCGTCCGACAAAGGAGAAGCAATGACTTCTGTTCAGGATTGATTTGATGAATTGTCCGATAAAGAATTAGTTCAGCCAATCAAGGCAGAATAGTAGTTAACCAAGGTGGGTGTGTAAGACGATATAACACGATAAATAGTCGATCACTTAATTACCTAATCAATCCAGCCTATTATCAACGATAATCGGGTTGCACGGTAGTTATACACTCAGTACACTATATTAATTGTGGAATTTGAATATTATTCACCATGTCTTGATGTCCGATTGGGCATATTCCCGGTCGGACAATTTTGGGCGTTTCGAAAAAAGATTCGGACAAGTCCGGAATATACGGGTAAAATCCCATCACTGGGATAATCTGTCAGTTTATTTGTTGATGGTATGGATTAAAATATTACATGTTGTGAGATCAACCGTGTTTGTTTACTCTCTAGTCTGAGTGGTGAGCGCTGTATCATATGGTCTGTCATTGAGTGAACTGGTGTGGTATTTGCTGATTGTACATGACAAGGACCACCTCGTGGGTTTTCTCCGGGTAATCCAGTTTCCTCCCACAGCTAAAGACACCTACGCGCAAGCAAATTATTGAAATAAAATTGAATCATATGTTAGTCCCAAAATGACCTGGTTTGTGTCAAGTGGACATTAAACCCCATTTCTCTCTCTCTCTCCCTCCCTCTCTCTCTCTCACTCTCTAGTCTGAGTGGTGAGTATTTACAGTAGTATTTCAATTGTTTGTAAACTTTGTTATAGTGGAAAAGAGAATATCAACAGTGAAAGTATGAGAACGAAGAAACGTAAAGTATCAGAAGAAACAGATAAGAACTTAATAACATATCTTTCTAAGAAACATAGGATACAAATGGAGTTCTAATGTCTCATTAGCACAATACTTTGGTCATTTTCAGGCCACGAAATTTCACGCGAACGATACCAATCGGTTACGTGCGGTCACGCCACCTCAAAAACACGCGACCGATTTCCTGGTTACGCAAATTGAAATATCGGTTACGTTAACAAATTTCATTAACAGATTTATTCACATTTGATCAATTTTTATACAGGATGACTTGTGACACAGGTCTAAATTATTTGTATTATAGCACAAACTCCATTCATTCATTCTTGGCATTTCATTCCTCCATCTGTCTTGTCCGCAGGTTTATCTTGTAGATTTTTGTTTTACGTGTAGTGCGGTCCTCCTGCACTTACTATTAGAGTAGAGTTTTAACCCTTCGTACTGCAGAATGTTCTCGTTGTCGGGTTTTGCTCCTGTTTGCTCACTCAACTGGCAGACTATCGCCACTGAGGAGACGACCACTGTCAAGATTGGTCGCATTATTTCTGTTACATCCTTTTTGTATTCCTGATTGCTTTCAAATTTGAGTGGGAGCCACGGCGGCTAGGTGGTTAAGACGCTGGCTCGCTAGCCTGGAGGTCGGGTGTTCGATCCCTGCATTGGCCGAGAAAGTTCATCCTGATTTTCCGACGTGGTTTCCCCTTGTCAGTGGTGCAGGAAAGGGGGTCTGACAAGGACAGCTGTCTAGTCCTTCAGAGGTCCCGTGTATACATTGGAATGCACGTTAAAGATCCATCGACGTACAAAGCATGTATACGAACATTGATAATAACACAGGTATTGAAGCAGTTAGGAAAGCATTTCTTAGGAACCCGCAAGCATCCAGGCCGGACGAAGAAATCCTCAAACTACTCAACATTTGTCTGAGGAGGAATGACTTCGCTTTTAACGACCAAGTATACCTTCAGTCTTCCGGAACTGCGATGGGAAAACGATTTGCCCCGAGTTATGCAAATCTCTTCATGGCGGAGTGGGAAAGGGAAGTTCTGCCACTCTGTCCATTAAAACCAGATTTCTATGGGCGGTTTTTAGATGACGTTTTCATAGTCTGGACCTACCTACTTGACGAATTTTGGACGTTTTTCAACATTCTGAACAATCATCATCCATCTGTCAAATTAACCGCAAATGTAAGCCATAACAGCATAGATTTCCTTGATACTACCGTTTTTAAAAGTAACAACACCAAAATCACAGGCCAATTGGAAACTAAAGTATTTTTCAAAGAAACCGACACACATCAATTATTGTTCAAAAGCTCCTTTCACCCAAAACATACATTCTCTGGCATCATAAAATCTCAGATTCTCCGTTTTCATAGGATATGTACTCAGAAGACCGACTTTGAGTCAGCATGTACATTGGTATTTAGCAAACTAAGGGAAAGGGGATACTCCAAACGCTATCTACGACGTATAAAAAACAACACTCTAGCTGAGCTTGCCGCCAAAGAAACAAATAATATACAATCAGCACATAAAACCAAAATTTGTGGCCATCCAAGATGTCAAACATGCAAAATCTTAGACATATCCGACCATTTCCATAACAAAACATCTGGCACAAAATTCCCAATATTAGACCAACTTTCATGCAGTAGTTCAAACATAATTTATCTAATCTCATGCAGAAAATGTGACAAGCAATACGTAGGGGAGACTCAAAATGCACTTAGGGAAAGAATTAACGGTCACCGGTCTGACAGAGCCTCAAATTTATTTTCTTTTTTCTTCAGAAACAATACCAGAATACCAGAAGCACCACCCAAGGAAGACCTGGTGGAGGTTGGTGGAAGCCCGGTGGTGGTTGGTGGAAGCCTGGTGGTGGTTGGAATCTGCTTCGTAGCTGTGGCCATTCCATTGGTAGTTGAGTTGGCGTGGGAAGGAGTGGGCGTCTGGTGCGGGGCCTATATCCATGTTCCAGTAGTGGTGGGGTTGGGGGAAAAAACTGCTTGTGTGGACGTGCAAATGGGACAAGATAAGAAAGCTGTAATGACGAGATACAGTAGAGATTGAAGAGAAGAGGGGGGGGGGGAAATAAAATGTATCTATATAGAATGTTGTGCAGTATTTGTTTACTGTGGTATTTGTTCTAAGAAATGGAAAATGCGAGACAAAAAGTAAATTAGCAGAGAGACAAGGTTAGATATTCGACGTGTGTGAGTAGATTGGTAGAAGAGCTCGTGCTCAAGCGTGTACTGATTTCACAATATGTACTGGTAACGTAACGGAATGAAACTAGAAATATAACACGTATGAAACAAAGGGAAATCGTTTGAACTTTGAGGTTTATTAATTACACAGTATAGTATATTGTGTAATGTCAATTGTTCAATTTAAAACTATTAACAGATATAAAAATATAAAGAGAGAAAAAGAATCTTACATATAATATAGATGGGTCGTTCCTCGATTATATCGCGATGCACATTTCGGAGTGGTATCCTTTATCAAGCGATGATAGTCTAACCCAAATGAAAGTGATTGTGAGTCTTACAGTCCCGATCTCAGAACTGAGCATACTAGAAAATACCAGGCCCTGAGTTCACAAATCATTCTCAGACTTACGTTAAGAATTTACTCATAATTCATTGCCTTATTTTAAATAACATATATAGCCCTTTATATAACGTTTAAAGTATCAAATACATCAATAATAAACTATATGCAAAGTTTTGTGTTAGGGCAGGTGATTGTTGCCGAGGATTTAGGGTTAGCCCTGTTAACATCTCGTGACCTTGACGAAATCTGCAGGTGGCCTTAATATTTAGATCTACCTTGACAAGGAGAGTGAAGAAATAAAGATATTAACCGAATGTTTGCCTCAAAATTTCAAATTTTGGCGTAACCAGAAAAATGGTTGCGGGTTTATGCTCTGCGTAACCATTTTCTTTGGTTACGTCAGATGACCATTGCGTAACCAATTGGTTACATAAAATGGTTGCGCTGCTTTCATGTTTTATCCAGATTTAAATGGTGCTATTATTCATTTCCACTTGCAGTGAATGTATTTTTTTAAAGAAATAACTTGACTAATTAATATTCTTTTATATTTAATATTATATATTTTGAGGTTAAGTGTTTATGACTTAAATCCCACGGTGTCCCCATTTAAAAAATAAAACGTTAGAAAAAAAAAATGTTCCACTTCACTAAATCCCTATCCATTTTAATAATGAGGGGAATCAGTTCTAAAAATTACAAATGGATTTTCGTTTTTGTATCATATCTGACCTTCAAAAACCAGGAATGGTAGCTACCGCATTGTTTTCGGTCACTGAAGACTACATGCGTACTTCATATTACACTTGTCACTTGCAATCATTCATCCAAGCACGTAGCATGAGATAGCCTCACTCATAGGTAGTGACTGATTGACAAACAGTATTTATAAACCTCGGCACTCTATACACAAAGTCTCAAAAGGAAACAGAATAGTTTGATGCCATGAAATAATATTAAAATAGACAGGGCAGTAAAATAGTTTACATTATCGCTGGAGCGATGCAGGGGAGGGGGTCAAAGTTGACGACATACATACGGCATGGCTATAGTGAAAACTGAAAGGAACGCGTGTAGTAAATTCTTTGGAAATATAGCCGACATGTTAAATAGTCAAACTCATTTCTCATTTTGTGTTTGAAAATCCAAAGGTACGCTTTCAAATATTTATGGCATATAATCATTTAAAGAATTAGGGGTGAGGGGCATTTTTAAATCAACCTGCTTGCAACTGGTCAATAGCCTACGTGGTGTCAAAATACGTGATCTGTCAAAGTACCTCTAATAGTAAGTGCAGGAGGACCGCACTACACGTAAAACAAAAATCTACAAGATAAACCTGCGGACAAGACAGAAAATAGACATTGCACTAATAAACAAATATCAAATCAAGTGAATGGATCTGGGGGCCAGTAGTGACACAGACTTCACTCAAATTTGAAATGAAATGAAATGGGGTTTAATGTCCTACTGTTTTGCTCCTATACTGGGCTAATGAAGACGGGCATACGCCATACAGTGTGCTAAGAGGGAAATTTTGCCCGGGCAGCGGCACTATCGCCTACTCTTATATCGAATTCCAACTGCCAAGGGATCTTTAACGTGCATTCCAATGTATACACGGGACCTCAGTTTTTCGTCTCATCCGAAGGACTAGACAGCTGTCCTTGTCAGACCCTCTTTCCTGCACCACTGACAAGGGGAAACCACGTAGGAAAATCAGGATGAACTTTCTCGGCCAATGCAGGGATCGAACACCCGACCTCCAGGCTAGCGAGCCAGCGTCTTAACCACCTAGCCGCCGTGGCTCCCACTCAAATTTGAAAACAATCAGGAATACAAAAAGGATGTAACAGAAATAATGCGACCGATCTTGACAGTGGTCGTCTCCTCAATGGCGATAGTCTGCCAGTTGACGTCATGAGTTAGAACGTCAAATAATTTTAACAATAAGGGCGATAATCCGGATAGAATCTCGGAAAACGCTAAAATAATAAGTGTAGTGAGCAAACAGGAGCAAAACCCGACAACGAGAACATTCTGCAGTACGAAGGGTTAAAACTCTACTCTAATAGTAAGTGCAGGAGGACCGCACTACACGTAAAACAAAAATCTACAAGATAAACCTGCGGACAAGACAGATGGAGGAATGAAATGCCAAGAATGAATGAATGGAGTTTGTGCTATAATACAAATAATTTAGACCTGTGTCACAAGTCATCCTGTATAAAAATTGATCAAATTTGAATAAATCTGTTAATGAAATTTGTTAACGTAACCGATATTTCAATTTGCGTAACCAGGAAATCGGTCGCGTGTTTTTGAGGTGGCGTGACCGCACGTAACCGATTGGTATCGTTCGCGTGAAATTTCGTGGCCTGAAAATGACCAAAGTATTGTGCTAATGAGACATTAGAACTCCATTTGTATCCTATGTTTCTTAGAAAGATATGTTATTAAGTTCTTACCTGTTTCTTCATCTGTTTCTTCTGATACTTTACGTTTCTTCGTTATCATACTTTCACTGTTGATATTCTCTTTTCCACTATAACAAGCCAACAGTGAGGCTGATGTCCCCCGCCGAAATTGCAAAATAAATAGATGACACATATTAATTAATCGCACATTTATTTTTTTCACTAAGTTTCATCACTCTCTATCAGATAGAATCAAGATTATCTTGTCCCAAACCATCGACAAATGAAATCGATTAGCTCTGCTTAGCTTCAGCTCGAAATGTTAATTATTGAACTCAGTCAAGACATTCACCTAATGAACATCTACATATACATCAAGTTTAAACATTCACCTAATAGACACCTATGCCAAGTTTGAACATTCTACCTCAATTAGAAGGAGAGTTATTGTGTTCCAAAGTTTCTACCAATCAAATTGCTTATCACTCTGCTTACCCTCAGCAAAAAATGTTCATTATCGAACTTAGTTAAGGTATTCATATAATAAATCTATACACCAAGTTTCATCAATCTCACTTAATTAGAACTAAAGTTATCGTGTCCCAAAGCATCAACCAATCAAATTGCTTATCTCTGCTTACCCTAAGCGGAAAATGCTCATCTTCGAACTCCATCAAGGCATTGACCTAATCAACACATACACCAAGTTTGAACATTCTAGCTCAATTAGGAAGAGAGTTATCGTGCCCCAAAGTATCAACCAATCAAATTGCTTATCTCTGCTTACCCTAAGCGGAAAATGCTCATCTTCGAACTCCATCAAGGCATTGACCTAATAAACACATACACCAAGTTTGAACATTCTAGCTCAATTAAAAGTTATCGTGTCCCAAAGCATCAACCAATCAAATTGCTTATCTCTGCTTACCCTAAGCGGAAAATGCTCATCTTCGAACTCCATCAAGGCATTGACCTAATCAACACATACACCAAGTTTGAACATTCTAGCCCAATTAGGAAGAGAGTTATCGTGTCCCAAAGCATCAACCAATCAAATTGCTTATCTCTGCTTACCCTAAGCGGAAAATGCTCATCTTCGAACTCCATCAAGGCATTGACCTAATAAACACATACACCAAGTTTGAACATTCTAGCTCAATTAGGAAGAGAGTTATTGTGTCCCAAAAAGTGTGACGGACAGACGGACGGACAGACAGACAGACGGACGAACCCATTTTAATAGTCCCCTGCTTTCTTCGAAAGGCGGGGGACAACAAAGTTTACAAACAATTGAAATACTACTGTAAATACTCACCACTCAGACTAGAGAGTGAGAGAGAGAGAGAGAGGAAGGGAGAGAGAGAGAGAGAGAGAGATGGGGTTTAATGTCCACTTGACACAAACCAGGTCATTTTGGGACTAACATATGATTCAATTTTATTTCAATAATTTGCTTGCGCGTAGGTGTCTTTAGCTGTGGGAGGAAACTGGATTACCCGGAGAAAACCCACGAGGTGGTCCTTGTCATGTACAATCAGCAAATACCACACCAGTTCACTCAATGACAGACCATATGATACAGCGCTCACCACTCAGACTAGAGAGTAAACAAACACGGTTGATCTCACAACATGTAATATTTTAATCCATACCATCAACAAATAAACTGACAGATTATCCCAGTGATGGGATTTTACCCGTATATTCCGGACTTGTCCGAATCTTTTTTCGAAACGCCCAAAATTGTCCGACCGGGAATATGCCCAATCGGACATCAAGACATGGTGAATAATATTCAAATTCCACAATTAATATAGTGTACTGAGTGTATAACTACCGTGCAACCCGATTATCGTTGATAATAGGCTGGATTGATTAGGTAATTAAGTGATCGACTATTTATCGTGTTATATCGTCTTACACACCCACCTTGGTTAACTACTATTCTGCCTTGATTGGCTGAACTAATTCTTTATCGGACAATTCATCAAATCAATCCTGAACAGAAGTCATTGCTTCTCCTTTGTCGGACGATATATCAATCCAATAAGAGTGATTAGAAACTTAATCTGATTAACCCGTGATTTCTCCATTGACCATTGTCTCACATTTTAATCTCCTTTGTGTCGGACAATAACACGTAGAAATTAGTCATATATGTCACATATCATGATAGTATATAACACCTCAAACCAACATACATTGTATCTGATAACTTGTCTGTGATATATTTTCGGTGGAAGCCGAAGTTAAATAAAGATATTTCACACACATGGCGCTTATAGAGTTCAGTAATTAAAATGAAAGAACAAATCTTGCGAGACACGTGAAATTAAGAGATGTATACGTGCTGAATCCAATATGCCTGATGTTCGAGAAAAGATTCTATTTTGATAGCATATTGTCGGATTTATGATCATATTTTGAAGGGGGTTTATGTCTTTAAATAAATAAATAAACATGCTAAGAAATGTTGACGAATATTTTGATTGGAATGACGTAAGTAGTTAATTGTTTTAGACGATAGCGCGTGCTACAGTCGAATGCAATTATTTAGAAGTTGGTTACACTCGCTCATTAGGGCGTCGTTAACTACGGTTTACGGCCAAATAAATTTCGGGATGTCATTTTTTTACCTTCCGTATATAAATCGAAACGGAGTATCAAACGAATTCTATAGTATTACGATGTCATGTAATTTTGTAGGAATATTATTGACATAAATTTGATTACCGTACGGGTTTTAAACATGAAATATAACGAGGTGCACCTATTTTTTTTTTTACATATGAATTTGAATATATTTTGTTGACACATGATTCTTAATTGTGTTTTGAAAACGTCTGCTTAAATTACGGTAAGAGTTATGCCCCTTTATTTTCGGGAAAAAATGTCCGACATGAAATTTTTTGAAATCCCATCACTGGATTATCCCCACAGAGCAATAAGCAGTTCCCATGTTAAACATTACGGTATTGTTAATAACTGTGCAAAAGTTTCAACACAATTCATCAAAGAATATGAAAACATTTGCAATATCATATTACGACTTGGTTTAATTGGTTAATTTTTGAAAGATTCAACTTTTATTGCACAAATGAACTAAAGAGTTAAAATGGTGTTGGAGAGCATGCTAATGGGGAAGATGTTGCTTCTCTGACTCTCCTTCAAGCTACTCCACTAGTATAGGAATGACATCATCCAAGGTCATGAGATGTAAGCAGGGTTAGGGCATGTTATTGTTGCCGAGGATTGTGGGTTAGGGTTAGCACTAGCCCTGTTTACATCTCGTGACCTATGACAAAATCTGCAGGTGTGCATGTGAAATAGATCTAGCCGTGGTCCCATCTCATTATTCTCCTGTATGAAACCTAGTAATAAACACCTGATCTAATTAACTACTATAGAAACCATAAATACAGGACAACAACTTTCATCCAATAAAACCCAGGGGATAATTACTGTCGAAATGCATACTCCTTGCAGTGTTTTGTTTGATTAGACCTCAAACACAGGAGACATTTGATTGGACAATGAGAATGGACATGCTCCGTCAAAAACTCAAGTTTTCAGTCTCAATACAGCAATGGCTAGAGAGGGATTTCTCTGGCCCTTGCTTCAGGTCGAAATGTATCTTACCTATCTGGAATCCTGATGATTTCTTTCTTCTCATGTTTCAATTTGCGTATTTTCGCTTGGAGATTTTCATTTTCTGTTCTTAACTCGTCTAGCTCTTTCTTGAGTTTATCGTTATCTTCTTGAAGATATTTATTCTCTGCTTCAATCATACAGACGGTATATTTATCTATAACACCACTGGCTGTTCCTACATCTACCAATACCTGTTCTACTGGTCTCGTCGGTTTCACTGGTTCACCTGAAAATCATGTTAAACATCTTGTTAAAGATACATTATGTAAGATTTAGATAAAGAGCTGGCCATTCTTACTATAATAGGTCAAAAGTAGATAATGCAAAATGAACAATTTGAAAATTTAATTCAAATTACTTTATTGCGAGCCGAGATATTAGCCTTTGAAGGTTTGACAAGATGTGTGCAATAATTTTAACCAACGTACTGGTTGTTTGAAGTTAAGTCTTGCTCCTCCATTTTTAGCTTAAATCAAAATATGGCTGAACTGTTCTAATCTATTTAATATCTGATCCAACGCATGCATTAACCAAGATATTAGCAATTCAATTCTAGGCTAGCCTCTTCCTTACCAACGTTGGCAAAATAATAAACAAAGTCTTGATTATCCATTTTTACATCAAATTATCCATCATAAAATGTATTCAAATCCACTAAATATCGCAGGCTAGCGATGCCATCTAGAGTTGATTATGGTCTGGATAGTCTAATTAATAATTTAGATAACATTTCAGGCCTAAACAAAGCCCTGCAATAGACAGATTTAGCTCTTGCATTGTATAATGTATGATTAATGTGTGGTAAATAAAATAGATACTTACATGTGGTTGTATCTAAATCTTCACCTTGTCTTCTCAATTGATCTTTTAATCTGTTTATAACACCATCTTTATATTGTACAGTATCAACTAAACCAGCCTCTCTATAATATAAACATCCAAACATGATTTATATATACTCAGCCAAATTAAAAACTTGACACTCGGGATTTTTGCGACTAGATTTTTAATATTTGGTTTAAGGCAACTATTTTAGTGTTATGTTGTGCACAGACGACCTTGACATCAACAGAATGCAAGAATACGTCTCGCCGAAAGTCCTTGACATTGATAACGTTCGTGATGTCCCAGTACCCCCCAAAATGAAATTCACAGACTTGGAGAACAATCGGAATAAAGTGTTTAGTAACGGTTGTGGCCTCCTCTAGCGTCTCGTACTGCCACACAACGTCTTCTCATGGATCTCAGAACATTAGTAAACACTACCCGAGGAAGACGTCGCCACTGCGCAGCAAGAGCATGTTGAAGGTCCTGCATCGTCAGTGGTGGATTCACTTGCTGACGAACACGTCGACCCAGTTCGTCCCAGATGTGTTCAATAGGATTAAGGTTGGGGCTAAGCGACGGCCAATCCAGGACTTGGACACCGGCATTTCCTAAAAAATTCTGGGTACCAATTGCTGTATGGGGTCGAGCATTGTCTTGTTGAAACGTTAGTCCAGGCCCATGTCTCTGCATAAACGGAAGAAGAACAGGTTGCAAAATCTGATCTCTGTACTGGACAGCATTTAAGTTCCCTTGGACAACAACAAGAGGAGAACGTCCATGTGCACAAAAAGAACCCCAAACCATGATGCTACCGCCACCAAATCGGTCAACTTCTCTGACGCATACTTGAGCGTAACGTTCACCTCGTCTGCGGTACACTCGGACCCTGCCATCGGCAAATCTCAATGTGAATTCCACTGTCTTTGAGTAAATCTTATGTGTCTTGTGATCCACGTGACTTTACAATTTTATGAAATTAAAGGCTTCTTAATACTTACTATCGTTAGAAACACTTTAAAATTTATTTGACTTACCAGAAATTTTTTTTTGTTGAAATTGTTGACATCGGCATGACAACGAACAAAAAGGCTAAATAGTTTGTTCATAAAACCCCCACATAAAGCACAACTCACTTTTTTTCAAATTCGATTCCTTCTTTATTGTGTGAATATTTCAGTTGATAAATTTCACGATACATGGCTGCATTACTTTCTTCTAATGTGGCCCATTTTTCTATAAAAATATACAGTTATAAAATTAATTGTAAGCCTACTATATATCAAACAAAACAACATCAATATTCTGGATATGTATACCAAAGGTGGCATGAGGCATCACATTGTAACGAAAATTGAAAATCGAACGATAATTAACTTTTTTACATTCAAATTAACGTGAAAAATGACGCATGCAAAATTGCTTATTTCTCGGCAACTGCGCATATTACAATCTAATTTTGACATACATTGTCCTCGTATGGATTAATGCTACAAAATTATGAAAGTTGCGTAGAAATAATTTAAAATATGAAGGCGATGAATGGGTTGTAAATAGCTGATTTTTACTCCTATTTTTCACCCTTAAATCAAAATGGCACACATACAAAACCTTGCGCGGAAAAAGACCTCCCGACCCGTCATAATTTAAATTTTAGGCAAAATCACGTCACTTCCGGTACCGACAGAAAACATTATAGGTAGAAACAAGTTGAGAATTTGCACCAAGGAGTATATGAGCTTTTGTTTTATACAAATCAGGCAATAAATAATTAATTTAGAACCCATAAACTGTAATAAAAATGCGAAAAGTCTTAAAAAGTGATCCTGACGAAATTGGTTATTTCTTTGCAAGAGAAGATGCTAGAAGGTATTTTTGGAAATATTTATGATCGTATTGATCCAATCTATATTTCCATTGGAATGAAATATAATGTTAAACGAATACTAAATATAACTCACTTCAAAAAAATATTTGTTTTGAAGGCTAAAAATACAGTTTTTGCTAACATTGCATTACTTCCGGTGAGAATGAAAATGTTAAATTAGTTTTATGAAATCAGAAATGGCATAAGGCATCACATGGTGGAAATTTTATGAAAATCGAATAATAATTGACACTGTTATAGTACAAAAACCTTGAAAAGTGACTAGTAGAAAATCGTCTATTTCTCTGCAACCTTACAAGTTAGAACCCATTTTGTGGTATCTGTATGGTCGTATGGGTTCATTCTATTTGTTGATTGAAATTAAATATCATACTTTTCAACAAATAACATATACGACTCATTTGAAAAAAATATCGGTTTTGAAGGCTAAAATTCAGTTTTTGCCCAAATGACGTCACTTCCGGCGACAGTAAAGGTGTTAAAATGGTTTAATCTAGTCAAACGTGGCATTGGGCATCACATGGTGAAAGAAAATTGAATAATAATTGATTCTTGTACAGGCAAAATAACACGAAATGTGACTCGTGCAAAATTGTCTATTTCTCGGCAACTGCTGATATTACAAACTAATTTTGACATACATTCTCTTTGTATTGGTTATTGCTACGAGGTTATGAAAGTTACGATGAAATATTTTGAAATATGAAGACGGTGGATGGGTTGTAAATAGCTTATTTTTACACCTTTTTTCGCCTTTTAATCTAAATGTCCCGAAAACGAAATCGAAATTAAAAAGATAGGTTGCCAGGCAACGAAACATACGCCCACAGCAACTAAATCGTCCGGGCAGTCAACAAGGGTTGTCGCATATTTTTACTTTTTTCGGTAATGAAACATTTATAATACACTAAAATCTGATTAAGAGCAACAACTCACGAAGTAATTATCAGAAAACTATTAGAATTTGTTTGGTTTAGAGCATCACAAGATTTTGCAAAGTGATCAAGGGCCATAACTTTGGCAGTAATTATCGGAAATCGTTGAAAATCAATAGGAATCTTCGTCTTATGACCTCAAACACTGTGTATAAATTTAAACTCAATCAGATATTAACTTTAGCCTCTAGAGCATCCACAAGATTTTTTGAAGTGATCAAGGGCCATAACTCTGGCAGTAATTATCGGAAATCGCTGAAAATCAATAGGCTTCTTCGTCTCATGACCTTATACACTGTGTATAAATTGAAAGTCAATCGGATATTAACTTTGGCCTCTAGAGCGTCCACAAGATTTTTCAAAGTGATCAAGGGCCATAACTCTGGCAGCAAATATTGGAAATCGCTGAAAATCAATAGGCTTCTTCGTCGCATGACCTTAAACACTGTGCATAAATTTAAAGTCAATCGAATATTAACTTTCGCTTCTAGAGCATCCACAAGATTTTTTGAAGTGATCAAGGGCCATAAGTCTGGCAGTAATTATCACAAATCGCTGAAAACCAATAGGCTTCATCATCTTATGACCTTAAACACTGTGTATAAATTTAATGTCAATCGGATGTTAACTTTAGCCTCTAGAGCATCCACAAGATTTTTTTGAAGTGATCAAGGGCCATAACTCTGGCAGTAATTATCGGAAATCGCTGAAAATCAATAGGCTTCTTCGTCTCATGACCTTATACACTGTGTATAAATTGAAAGTCAATCGGATATTAACTTTGGCATCTAGAGCGTCCACAAGATTTTTCAAAGTGATCAAGGGCCATAACTCTGGCAGCAAATATTGGAAATCGCTGAAAATCAATAGGCTTCTTCGTCTCATGACCTTAAACACTGTGCATAAATTTAAAGTCAATCGAATATCAACTTTCGCTTCTAGAGCATCCACAAGATTTTTTGAAGTGATCAAGGGCCATAAGTCTGGCAGTAATTATCACAAATCGCTGAAAACCAATAGGCTTCATCATCTTATGACCTTAAACACTGTGTATAAATTTAATGTCAATCGGATGTTAACTTTAGCCTCTAGAGCATCCACAAGATTTTTTTGAAGTGATCAAGGGCCATAACTCTGGCAGTAATTATCGGAAATCGTTGAAAATCAATAGGTTTCTTCATCTCATGACCTTAAACATTGTGTTTAAATTTAAAGTCAATCGGATATTAACTTTGGCCTTTAGAGCATCCACAAGATTTTTTGAAGTGATCAAGGGTGATAACTCTGGCAGTAATTATCGGAAATTGCTGAAAATCAATGGGCTTCTTCGTCTCATGACCTTAAACACCGTGTATAAATTTAAAGTCAATTGGATATTAACTTTGGCCTCTAGAGCGTCCACAAGATTTTTCAAAGTGATCAAGGGCCATAACTCTGGCAGTAATTATCAGAAATCGCTGAAAATCAATAGGCTTCTTTGTCTCAAAACCTTAAACACTGTGTATAAATTTAAAGTCAATCAGATATTAACTTTAGCCTCTAGAGCGTCCACAAGCAATTGTGGACGCCGGCCGGACAGGGGCGACGACAATATACGACCACATTTCAATGTGGTCGTATAAAAACTGAGTCCGATGATTTGTGTCCGTTTGCGTGGTGCATCCTTTTGGTAATATCAAATTTTGAAAAAATAATATTTGCTTTCAAAAAGTTGTACCGATCTGTCAAAATTGTAGTTTTTGCTGATTTTACGACACTTCCGGTGCCGACAGGAATCTTTACCGGTAACAAAAAAAAATGACATTTTGGACCACGCAGCATATGAACTTACTTTTGTACAAATCGAGTAATAAATAATTAATCTAGGACTAAAAAACTGAATTAGCCAATGGCTGCCAAGGAAAATTAATGAAAACAAAAAATGTTGACATTTTTAGTCAAATTGGATAACTCTTCAACCCTGGGTAAAATGCCATATAAAAATATTTAAATTTTCGAAATTCGGCGCTTAATATCTACGAAGATTCGTCGACAATCAAAAATAGCACAGCTATGTGCCTGGTCTCTGGCTATGTCAAAATGCATCATATGTTAAAATTCGATGGTTATTGTTAATACTACGTCATTTTAAAAAAAACCCCGATAACTTCGGCGATTTCGGACATTTCGCATTGTCACAGAATACCCAAAATAGCTTTAATCTCTAAGTCACACCTACTTTTCCAATCGTATCGATCCGACATGTAGTTTCTGAGATACAATCAAATTGGAAAAAAAAAAAAAAATAATAATAATAAGAATAATCTTAACAAAAACAATAGTGTTTCACACAAGCTACGTGAAACCCTAATTAGATTCAATTCCAGGTGAGACTATAATCTCTGTTTGAAGCATGAAACATGTTCTCATAAATCTCAAAATGCCATCATATTTTATTTATTTTCATTGATCATTATTCGTTCTAAAAAGCTAGATATATTTTTTCCATTCTGTCCACACATGCGTTGTGGTCTGAAATTCCTCTTGTCACTTGACTGTTGCTCTTTACAAATTCACACTAACTACTATTTATGGAATAACAATTACTGGTTTATTGACATGCAATGTGTCACCGATGAAACTCTTGTCTATATTAGGGCTGGGGTAATGGTAATGGAATGTAATCATTACATTTTTTTAAATAATGGAAGATTTCAAAAGTAATGAGTAATGGGAAATGTAATTAATTACATTCCAAAAATCACGTAATGGTCAATTACATTTCAATTACTTTTCAATTACAATTTATGGCATATACAGTGGACTCTGTCACATCCGATCTCTGATCACTCCGGATTGCTGTGACATCCGGTATGATTTTCATGTCCCGATTTATTTCCTTAATTTATTACTTCAGCCAAAAAATCGCTGGTAAAATCGAATTCTGTATGTTCCGGATTCCGAAATCAATCAGCCGCCCCGTCCCATAATTTCCAATGAATCGACACTGTATAATCCGTACTTCAAATGGTGGGTGTGAAGCATCCAATTATCGGTGAGATTAAAACTCAATGGGTGTGAAGCCAGAAAAGATTAACAAGTAATCACCAATCAGTTATCGGTGAGATTAAAACTGTGTTGATTACTTTGATCGGTAAAGCAGTGAACTTGAGTTGTTTTAAGGGAGTGGACAAAATCTACCTGCCAGTCAATTGGTCGGCCAATCGCAAAGCTTGAATGACAGGTGCCGTTTACTTTGATTGGCTTGAAAAACTGGACATACGACAGATTATAAATGACAATTGACTGAAGACGGGGACGATGAAGAATATACATTAACGACAGACTTGACCTATTCAAAATTCCTACGCATGCCCAACGACAATAAACACTTCGCACAGATTAAGGACGAAAAGATGATCGCAACAATTCATTTGTTAGAAGATGTTGCCCAGGACTCTGCCTTACAATATGCTTCCAGTAATCTTAACTAAGCAAACTACTTTAAACGATATTTATAAATATATTGTACGCATGCATTGATATTACATGTAAACGATTTTATGAATATATTGTACGCATGCATTGTTATTGTTAATTATTTAATATAAAATTTTGAAAGTACAGAAAAGTTTATCATTTATAAAGGGAATAGCATTCTGGTGATTCGAAGCTACAATATAAAAATACTTCCGGTTTTCGAAGTTACAGTATTTCCGGTTTTGGAGAAAGCTCGGTATTCCGAAGCGCTGTGTGATCCGAATTATTGTAACGATCCCGCACGATGTCGGATGTGACAGAGTCCACTGTATATATATTTCCAATATGACAAGCCTCAAATTTTATAGCACCAAAGAAGTAATCAAGTGTATCTGATACAAATCCAATTCATCATAATTCTAAAAAAAAAGATTTAAAGGGCTCCGGAAAATGTTCATAATTTTTTTAAATAAAGCAAGTAATTATGTCAACATATCCTTTCCATAAGTATAACCCAAACCCGAATGTCAATATTACCTGCAACAGGTAAATTTCAACATTAGTAATTTCTGCCATTATTCGTGGGTAGTCGTAACTTTCAGTATCTGTGACGTCATTTTAGTCCTTCTGCTGATATTCTAGTCTATATTTCTATGTGCAGAAGGACTAAAATGACGTCACGGATTGCTTATTGACGGAAAGTTACGACTACCCACGGAGAACGGCTGATTACTAATGTTGAAATTTACCTTTTGCAGGTAATATTGACATTCGGGTTCGGGTTATACTTATGGAAAGGATATGTTGACATAATTACATGCATTATTTAAAAAAAAAAATGATGTTTTTCCGGTGACCTTTAAATCAGTTTTAAAACCAGCGGCTGCCAGGCAGGATACGCCCACATTTTCGAGAGATGGATAGAGAACAAGCTAAAAAGAAAGTGATTTTTCCTACAATCAATGGCCATAATTCAGGAAATTACAATTCGATATGCGTAAATGTTTTTCCGGTGACCTTTAAATCAGTTTTAAAACCAGCGGCTGCCAGGCAGGATACGCCCACATTTTCGAGAGATGGATAGAGAACAAGCTAAAAAGAAAGTGATTTTTCCTACAATCAACGGCCATAATTCAGGAAATTACAATTCGACATGCGTAAATATCGAAAGGAACCGAGATCTTTGGGTTATAATCTTACATTTCAAGTTTCAACAAAATCAGATAAAAATATTGACCTCTATCGGGTCCACAACCTTGATATACCATATTTTTATGCTATTTGAGAACGAAGGGAGGCCATTTTGTCTGTCAGTTTTGGGCCAATTTTCACGAAATTCGAACTCATTCGACCATAGGGTGTAACGGTGATATAATAATACGTTTTTTTAAATCGGATAAAAATTATGACCTCTATAGGGTCCACAAGCTAAAAAAGCGATTTTCCGTACAATCAGGGGTCATAATTCAGTAAGTTACGGTCCGATATGCGCGAATATCGAAAGGAACCAAGATCTTTTGGTTATAAATTTACATTTCAAGTTTCAACAAAATTGGATAAAAATTGTGACCTCTATAGGGTCCACAACCTTGATATACCATATTTGTACGCTATTTGAGAACGAATGGCGGCCATTTTGTCTGTCAGTTTTGGGTCGATTTTCACGAAATTTGAACTCAACCGTCCTTAGGGTTTAACGGTAATATAACAATACGGTTTTTTTAATCGATAAAAATTATGACCTCTATAGGGTCCACAAGCCAAAAAACGCATTTTTACGTACAATCAGGGGCCATAATTCAGGAAGTTACGGTCCGATATGCGCGAATATCGAAAGGAACCAAGATCTTTGGGTTATAAACTTACATTTCAAGTTTCAACAAAATCGGATAAAAATTGTGACCTCTACAGTGTTCACAAGCTAAAAACGTGATTTTTCGTTCAATCAGGGGCCATAATCCATGAAGTTACAGTCCAATACATGCCAATATCAAAAGGAACCGAGATCTTAGGGTGATAAAGCTATATTTCAAGTTTCATTGAAATCGGATAAAAATTGTGACCTGTGACCTGTATTACTTTTTATGTAGGAACCTTTTTTAGACATGTAACTGTCAAGATCGGTCGCATTATTTCTGTTACATCCTTTTTGTATTCCTGATTGTTTTCAAATTTGAGTGAAGTCTGTGTCACTACAGGCCTGGGACTGTACAGCGCAGTGGACGCTTACGGCTGGCCCCCGAATGCAGTCACTTGATTTGATATTTGTTTATTTGTGCAATGTCTATTTTCTGTCTTGTCCGCAGGTTTATCTTGTAGATTTTTGTTTTACGTGTAGTGCGGTCCTCCTGCACTTACTATTAGAGTAGAGTTTTAACCCTTCGTACTGCAGAATGTTCTCGTTGTCGGGTTTTGCTCCTGTTTGCTCACTCAACTGGCAGACTATCGCCACTGAGGAGACGACCACTGTCAAGATTGGTCGCATTATTTCTGTTACATCCTTTTTGTATTCCTGATTGCTTTCAAATTTGAGTGGGAGCCACGGCGGCTAGGTGGTTAAGACGCTGGCTCGCTAGCCTGGAGGTCGGGTGTTCGATCCCTGCATTGGCCGAGAAAGTTCATCCTGATTTTCCGACGTGGTTTCCCCTTGTCAGTGGTGCAGGAAAGGGGGTCTGACAAGGACAGCTGTCTAGTCCTTCAGAGGTCCCGTGTATACATTGGAATGCACGTTAAAGATCCATCGACGTACAAAGCATGTATACGAACATTGATAATAACACAGGTATTGAAGCAGTTAGGAAAGCATTTCTTAGGAACCCGCAAGCATCCAGGCCGGACGAAGAAATCCTCAAACTACTCAACATTTGTCTGAGGAGGAATGACTTCGCTTTTAACGACCAAGTATACCTTCAGTCTTCCGGAACTGCGATGGGAAAACGATTTGCCCCGAGTTATGCAAATCTCTTCATGGCGGAGTGGGAAAGGGAAGTTCTGCCACTCTGTCCATTAAAACCAGATTTCTATGGGCGGTTTTTAGATGACGTTTTCATAGTCTGGACCTACCTACTTGACGAATTTTGGACGTTTTTCAACATTCTGAACAATCATCATCCATCTGTCAAATTAACCGCAAATGTAAGCCATAACAGCATAGATTTCCTTGATACTACCGTTTTTAAAAGTAACAACACCAAAATCACAGGCCAATTGGAAACTAAAGTATTTTTCAAAGAAACCGACACACATCAATTATTGTTCAAAAGCTCCTTTCACCCAAAACATACATTCTCTGGCATCATAAAATCTCAGATTCTCCGTTTTCATAGGATATGTACTCAGAAGACCGACTTTGAGTCAGCATGTACATTGGTATTTAGCAAACTAAGGGAAAGGGGATACTCCAAACGCTATCTACGACGTATAAAAAACAACACTCTAGCTGAGCTTGCCGCCAAAGAAACAAATAATATACAATCAGCACATAAAACCAAAATTTGTGGCCATCCAAGATGTCAAACATGCAAAATCTTAGACATATCCGACCATTTCCATAACAAAACATCTGGCACAAAATTCCCAATATTAGACCAACTTTCATGCAGTAGTTCAAACATAATTTATCTAATCTCATGCAGAAAATGTGACAAGCAATACGTAGGGGAGACTCAAAATGCACTTAGGGAAAGAATTAACGGTCACCGGTCTGACATAGTCACCAAAAAAGACAAACCTGTCTCAATTCATTTCAACCAACCAAATCATGACATTTCTGATCTCATTGTCACGCCAATAGAAAAGACCAAGAGCGACTTTGAAACTTCAGAAGAAATTAAAACGTTTAGGCTAACAAGAGAAAAATTCTGGATTGACAAATTGAAAACAACAGCCCCCCCCTAGGTTTGAATATTCATACGGCTAGCGCAATAGCTCCTTTTGTAGTTCCATTTAGCGCAACAGCAGCAAGTGCGTCCAAAATCATCAGGAAACACTATACTGATCTCCAAGAAAATCACCCGAAAATATTCACACAGAAACTTATAATTGCATATTCTAAAAATAAAAATCTGAACGACATCCTAGTGCACAGTAAATTAGATTAAATAAGACCAGTCTCCACCCTGACCCAAAACAAACCATATATCAAATCCTATGCCTAACCGTTAGTAAATAAAATCAATTACATATAAGAATCCCTAGCCCTAACCCGGTGACGTGGAACAAACACGATTTTTTAGAAAACACACTAATGTGGCTCTCTCCCGAGAGCCTCAAATTTATTTTCTTTTTTCTTCAGAAACAATAATACCAGAATACCAGAAGCACCACCCAAGGAAGACCTGGTGGTGGTTGGTGGAAGCCCGGTGGTGGTTGGTGGAAGCCTGGTGGTGGTTGGAATCTGCTTCGTAGCTGTGGCCATTCCATTGGTAGTTGAGTTGGCGTGGGAAGGAGTGGGCGTCTGGTGCGGGGCCTATCCATGTTCCAGTAGTGGTGGGGTTGGTAAAATAACCAGTATTTATTTTATGCTTTAGTCACCTTGATTATTTATAATAATCTAGCTGTCTAAATTACGATACGTGTATTTTACTTTGTAATTTATATACATGTACCTTAACACTAAGAACAAATATTATACGCTATAAGTATAAGATAAAGACAGATAATCTAGGCGTCCCCAGATATACATACACATTCACACCCTCAATAATAAATTACACAATATTACAATTAATACAAGTATAATAATATATTTATTGAAACAAAATGTTTACTTGGCCAAGTATAAGAAAAACAACTTACAGAGCTCTTTCGCAGAAATCCAGAAAAATCCAAGAATTCAACACAAAAACACAAATCAAGCAAGAGTTCACAAAACACAGATCACAAAACACAGGAATCAACTGTCTCTATATCACGTTGGGCGCCATTTTGTAGTAGGAGTTTTGACATCACAATATCACAATTAAAAGACTTTACACATGAGGGAAAAATATATTTAATCAACATTTACTTATGAAATATAAGGTTATTTAATTTCTATATATATATTATTATTAACTTGCTAATATTTACTTTAATAGTTTGGAATTATTTATATAGTTTAAAATGTCTAGTCCAGTCAAACAAATACAAAACCTACCTTGAAATAAATGATTAATTTGTGCTGTAATTAAGAAGAGCTGTTTAAAGATGGGTAGAAAATAGAAGAGTGAAGTTAGTAACCAAAATCAACAAAGCAGGTTTCCAAGGGAATGAAATCTACTCACTACCTTATAACAATAGCATTTTTAAACTTTAAACTAAAGTAAATATCACCACTGGAAAGAAAAGGCTAGCTGGATACTCAAGACAATAGAGACTGATTGAAATAGTTAAAGTGGTTATAACACCCTACTAAAATATTTAAAGGGGCTAAAACACCCTACTACAATAACTTTAACATGGGTGAGTTTTTAGCCTTTATTATTTTATTTGCAGACTGTCAACATAATTTTATTGCTAGTTCTTGTTCAGAGAAGAGCAGTTCTTGCATACACCCCTCAGAATACCCTATAAAACTATGTGATGCCTAGGATTCAAGTGGTTGCGATGTATATCGTTCTGACGTGTTGTCAATCATTGTCATTGTCAATTTTAGCATAATTTCCCGTTATCCTAGGCCCAAATCAGCTGCTATTTCACCTCCCCTAGTGACGATATCTTCAAACAATTTCTTGAGACTAATGACTCATTATCAGGCGGATCATGTTATTCAGAATTTGGGCAAACTTTGATTTAAATTGTCCACTTTAAAGTAAACACTGCAGAGACTCCCAGAGTGCAAAAAAACAAAACAAAATTGTCCACACTGCTTAGTTACGAATAATTTATGATGCCTGTTTATGACTGATTTTCTTCTGTTTTATATACATGTATTTCAGAGATGTGTTTGGATGAAGTTTGAAAATAGTGTGATGGTCATTTGAGCAGAATTTCTTGAAGATATTTGTCAATAAAGATTTGGGTTGAGGAAGATGGCTGAGCACAAAATGAAAAAAAAGTACACTGTAATATTTATATACGCAGTTATTCGCCTTGCTAAAACAGATCGGAGTTATATATTGTCCAATCGACGTTGTCTAATCCACCAACCAAAACGCAAGATTCACAAGCATGTTACAATGCTGTGTCGATACTGTTTTTTTCCCCCGTCTCGGAAGTGGTGTTTGGTAACTATGTTTTTAGGACAATTGTGATACTTAAGTGAATGGTGAACTTTGTGTCGTAAGGTGACGACTGTGATTAACTTTATAGTGAATTTTAAAGTGAACCTTAATTTCATGAAAACCCATGCTTTCTAACATGGCGGATCTCCATAGACATCATGAACTCTGTGAACCGTGAACTCTGTGAACTGTGAATTCCGTGACTTGTGAACTCTAATTATTGAATTAGAACTGTCAACAAAGAAAGCTGTCAACTTGTTTATGTTTATACTGTAACTCCTGTTTCTTGTATATGTTTATTTACATAAATATTCATTAATATTTCAAAGCCTTATCATTTCATTCAAGTGTTATCCGGTGATTTGATCGACTGTTGTCCTGTCAATTTGGTTTGCCAGCCCACTCCAAATAAACACGTCGTGTGGAGAGGGTTAACATCTTTTTTACCTACAACACCGCAGCATGCCGAGATGAGATTTGGGTAATCTTTTACTTCTTCACACTCTGGTCAAAATTGGTCAACCTGTGATCAGTAGATTTGAGTGGATATGGGAAAGCACAATAAATGAATAGGTACAAGCCTAAGTTCATATATTTTAGCCTGTCTCTGCATATGGGCATTCTTAGACTATCGTTGCTAATAATTCAGACTCAGAATTTTGTCGAACATCAACTCAATATAAATACTGTATTTATAACATATCGTCTTGTCATTTGTTCTATTACTCAGCCTTTAGTAGTTAGGTATTGAACATACTTTTGGGTGGTCTAAAATGAGATATTTCAAGAAACACATTTTCTTGTACAAGATTTTAGGGTGGTCTAAATAAGCAACTGTGAGGAACACATTTTCTTGCGCATGATTTTTGGGTGGTCAATTAAGCAACTGTGAAGAACACATTTTATTGCGCAAGATTTTAGGGTGGTCTTTCTTAAAAATGATGGTGCATTTTTTTGTACGCAAGATTTTAATGGGTGTGTGGTCTACCCAGGTCCAGTGCATATTTTTTGACTTGATGTATGATGTTTTTTTTACTACTGCCCCCCGGGTAGAATAGTACGTAGTGTCTAGTAAAACGAGTCAATTGCTTAGCAACCAAGCGGATGTTGAGAACATGTGCAAGTGAAGCTGCCAGTGTGTGATGTGAGCTGGTGACAGCGTACTGTTTTCTACCGCAGACATTATGTTGGACATTTGATTTTCTATGAATGTATAAAATGTGACCTGCAAGCTGTGAACTTTTGTGTAATATTATGTGACAGTGAATAAATAGTTGTTATTGTTTGCAGTATCGTGTTTCTTACATATCATGGGTTTTCAAGTCCAGCGCGTATGGAACGGTAGGCTGAAAAAAGGACTAAATAGCGGTGTCATGTGAATATTTTAGTGAAGTGAACATCATCCATAGAGGTGTATATATTGACTAGAGTCACTCGGCAAACCTTAACAGATTCCAGTACCCTACATCTAGATGTAGCAAAATCTAGATGTAGGGTACCGGAATCTGCCGAGGTTTGCCGAGTGTGACTAGAGTGTATTGTGGTCATGTGATCCCCATTGACGTAACGTTAACGTTGTGGGCCGTCACTGGAGACTGGCCGCCATGTTTCAACCAGGAAAGAATCACGGATGAACGCTATGTAAACAAAGGGAAATAGACTGACGGAGGGCGGACAAGCCCATTAAAAAAGCAGTTCTAATTCAACAATATCAACCAAAAAAATGATGATTGAAAGGTCTTACCTTACTGTCCTAAAAACAAAATCGTTTTGGTCAACTGGCATATTTTTGGGGCTTTATTATTATTAAGAATAACTCTTATCATAATCATCATCATGATGAATACTGTGGCATTGTCACCATCCATGGTGTAAATTGTAATGCAGAACTGACGAAATCATGTTATTTTTATTAATTGAGCACAGTGAACGTCCTCGAATGTCCAGATCTATAAAGTGTTCAGCAAAATTTTGAACATTGCTCCTTGGTAGTTCACATAAAACTTTATTTTGGATAGATCTAAATAATTTGTTCAGTTGGACGATTTGAAATGAAAGGACTGCTTGATTGACAGATATAACTAAACTATCTATATCATGTAAAGAAACAAGCCAACAGTGAGGCTGATGTCCCCCGCCGAAATAGGAAAATAATTAGAGAGTTATTGTGTTCCAAAGTCTCAGCAAATCAAATTGCTTATCGCTCTGCTTAATCTGAGCAGAAAATGCTCATTATCGATCTTAGTCAAGGTATTACTGTAATGAAACTATACACCAAGTTTCATCACTCTCACTTAATTAGAACTAAAGTTATAGTGTCCCAAAGCATCAACCAATCAAATTGTTTATCTCTGCTTACCCTAAGCGGAACGGACAGACAAACAGACAGACGGACGAACCCATTTTAATAGTTCCCTGCTTTCTTCGAAAGGCGGGGGACAATAAGCATGAACATTTACTCAATTCGAAGATCAACCAATCAAATTGTTTATCTCTGCTTACCATAAGCGGAACGGACAGACAGACAAACAGACAGACGGACGAACCCATTTTAATAGTTCCCTGCTTTCTTCGAAAGGCGGGGGACAATCAAAGTAGGAGAGTTATTGTTTTCCAAAGTCTCGACCAATCAAATTGCGTATCGCTCTGCTTACCCTGAGCAGAAAATGCTCATTATCAAACTTAGTCAAGGTATTACTGTAATGAAACTATACACCAAGTTTCATCAATCTCACTTAATTAGAACTAAAGTTATCGTGTCCCAAAGCATCAACCAATCAAATTGCTTATCTCTGCTTACCCTAAGCTGAAAATGCTCATCTTCGAACTCCATCAAGGCATTGACCTAATCAACACATACACCAAGTTTGAACATTCTAGCTCAATTAGGAAGAGAGTTATCGTGCCCCAAAGTATCAACCAATCAAATTGCTTATCTCTGCTTACCCTAAGCGGAAAATGCTCATCTTCGAACTCCATCAAGGCATTGACCTAATCAACACATACACCAAGTTTGAACATTCTAGCTCAATTAAAAGTTATCGTGTCCCAAAGCATCAACCAATCAAATTGCTTATCTCTGCTTACCCTAAGCGGAAAATGCTCATCTTCGAACTCCATCAAGGCATTGACCTAATCAACACATACACCAAGTTTGAACATTCTAGCCCAATTAGGAAGAGAGTTATCGTGTCCCAAAGCATCAACCAATCAAATTGCTTATCTCTGCTTACCCTAAGCGGAAAATGCTCATCTTCGAACTCCATCAATGCATTGACCTAATAAACACATACACCAAGTTTGAACATTCTAGCTCAATTAGGAAGAGAGTTATTGTGTCCCAAAAAGTGTGACGGACAGACAGACGGACAGACAGACAGACAGACAGACGGACGAACCCATTTTAATAGTCCCCTGCTTTCTTCGAAAGGCGGGGGACAATAAAATCGATTTTAAAAATAATCTATGACTTCTATCATTTACCAGTAGAATAATATCTGATGCCGATTCGAAATATTTTTTTTTTTTAAAAAAAAGGAAAATATAAAAACGCCTAGCAAGGCCTTAGGCCTATTTTTATTTTCAATTTCCATGATCTGGTGTCTGATTTTTCTTTGTTGAAAAATATGACGGTATATTAAATTTTACAAAAAAATAAGACTAACCTAATCATACTTAATAAGATTTTCGTAGTAGCAGTAGCAGGCCTATTTTTTTTTTTCCAAAATTTGACTGGGAATTAAGTTATCAAAATTACTTATTATTATTAACCATTTTTTTTTTTAACTTGTTCGGGGGTTTTAAGCGGGTTTTCAGAAGAAGAAAAAAAAGAAACATAAATATTGCAAGAAACTTTCACTTTATTCTGTACATCTGTGTACACAATGAATGTCGGCCTAATTAATAAAATCCGAGGGAGTAAAACTAACCGATAGCAAAGCAACTACTGGCCAGTGAGTGCATGTCTGTGACTAAACACTCCACTCCAATAAGTAGACTTACTCCCCCTGATATTTTTCGTACAATGCAAAATGTGTGTATATATAATATGCGCAATTTCCATAATAATTAAATATACATTAATTTATGAGTTCGCTAAACGCACGGACCTTGTAATTATTACATAATAAAAGTATCAGTACTAATAATATAGACCTGCCCGGTTTCCGGCCTCAAACTTCCAGTGTTCGACGTCTTCTCGCGGTGTTTATTAAATTATTTTACACAATTATGATGATTATACTATATCTATTAGATCACTATTTCACTTATAATATATCTTACCTACTTATGAAATGATAATCCACTCCCTTTTCGCCTGACATAACTCTCCGGCATGTTGATATATGCCAATGTAGGCTAAATCTTCCCGGTTGTAAAATGGCTGCCGACCTCCGTAGTCGGCACGCGATCACGTGACCACCATACACTCTAGTCAATATATACACCTCCATGACATTATCGAACTAGTCTTCACCAGCTCGGCATCTACATAATCAAGTAGAAAACATCTAAAATTGACATTTCAATGAAATCATTGTGTTGTGTAACTTTTACTTTTGTGACATTAATTTGTGTTGTTCTGGTGTCTGGAGTTGGAGCCGGAATGGAGCAACGTTAAGCGGGAAACAGAACCCCTCCTCCGCCTGTTTTGGAGCCAGTCATACAAATTGTAAGTACAAATGCTAGTCATAAAACTGCCTCGAATCCTGGATTGATTTCCGATGATGTGATACAAAATGACATTGAAATATTTGCGAATGACAGGCCTACTAACCTACACGGGGCAGGTATTCGTAACAAACAAGTGACAGAAGCATGTGAGTCACACAGGGCCAGTGCTATGGTTGATGATATTGATAAACCCACTGTAAATCCCGAAGACAGCATCTCGAATATTAGTAGTAAAGGGAGTAAAGTTTCTTCAGCCTCTAGAGCCAGAATGCGTGCAATAAAACTAAAAGAGGAATTGTTTGCTTTGGAAGAGTCCAATCAACTAGAAAAACAAAAGCTTGAAATGCAAGGAGCTATGGAAGAAATCAACAGAAAACAAAAGGAAATACTTCTGCATGCACAACTTAAAGCAGCAACAGAAATAGCAAATAACAGTGTTAGAAAATAAAAGTAGAGTGTCAGAAATAACATTCAAACAAAAACCTATAATTCCTGAACATTCTCCCAATACTATTCTTAATCCTGTGATTGAGCTGGACATTTCTGTGAATAATGAACCGGAGATCCCTCTGAGTTTGATTTCTGATAATTACCCTAAGAAGGCTGTGAATCCTGTGAACAATGTTGACATATCCAATATATTAGTT